GATCTCACTGGTAGTCACAATTGAAATGCTCAACTCCTTCCAATGCCTCCTCAGATTTGGGTAGAATCATCTTCACCTCTTCAACAGACTTAGAGGTCAGCATTGTCTTTGAGTGTGACATCTTTAGACCTAACTTTTCTGCTTCCACTGCTACTCTTTCTAGCAATTTTTATACCTCTTTCTGTGATAATCTAGTCAGGTCAATATCCTAAGCGAAGCACAGACGACTAATTTTTCATCCACAGATGAATTCCCTCCTATAGATTTCCGTCAGTGGTGGTTCTTAATGTTTCTTCACCATAACAGTTAAAGAGGACTAGTGATAGCAAACAGCCCTGACACCTATCCTCAAGTCAAACAGACAATTTGCTCATGCCCCACAAACACTGAAGTCATTACAAAATCTCTATGAAAGTATACCAGCTTTATTACATTTTCAACTACTCTGGCCAGCCACAGGAATGCCCAGAGAGATTTGTGTGATATGCTGCCAAATTCTTCTTGGTAGTCCATCGATCCGACGATGACAAATCTGTGCAGATCATCTATTGTTGGTCTCATGGTGTGCCCTCTGATGACTGTACAAGCCAATTCTAGAGGTGCATATTTTGCTGCAGATGGTGTATGGTAAGTTAGCGGTCAGTGGATTGTGCGCTGCTGATGCTCTGTGATGTCATTCGCGTGCCTCTTGTAGATGCCGGCAGCAGTCTTCCTCAAAGGCGATGCAGGTATTTCTGACTGTTGCACGCCACTGTGTTCTGTCGCTGGCGGCGTCCTCAAGGTCCCTAGGTTTGATACTGCTGTAGTGCAGATTGGCTTTGATGGTGTCCTTGTAATGTTTCCGTGGATGACCTATATGCCGGATGCCCTGGGAGAGCTCACCATACAGAAGCTGACGGGGGATTCTGTTGGCATCCATGCAGCTGACATGACCGGTCCAACGTAGCTGTGACTTCATAATCATCATTTCGATGCTTGTCATCTGGGCTCTCTCGAGGACCTCAAGATTGGGCACTTTGTCTTGCCAGCGGATCTTCATGATGTTGCGGAGGCAGCGCATGTGAAATACTTCGAGCTGCTTGATGTGATGCCTATATAGTGTCCATGTTTCGCACCCGTACAAAAGAGATGAAAGAACAACAGCTCTGTACACAAGCAGTTTTGTTGACATCTGGATGTGGGGATTTAAAACTTTGACACGCAGACAGCCAAGTGCCTGGCTTGCTTTGGATATTCATGCATTGATCTAATTATCCAGTGATCCATCACTGGATATGACAGTACCCAGATATTTAAAGTTCTCCACTACTTTCAGCTGAGTGCCGTTGATGGAGATACTCGGGACAGAAGCATTTGATCCAGGTGCAGGTTGATGGAGAATTTCTGTCTTTCCGAGGCTGATAGTTAGTCTGAAAAGTTGCGAGGCCTCAGCAAACTTGTTGACAATGTGCTGAAGATCATTTTCAGTGAGCGCCATGAGGGCACAGTCGTCAGCAAAGAGTGCCTCAAGAAGGAGTTTCTGCACTGTCTTAGTCTTTGCATTCAGGCGACGGAGGTCAAAAAGTGAACCATCGTGCCGGTATTTCAAGTATATACCTCGGTCCATATCTTTCATTGCATGGTTAAGGACACATGCAAAGAACAGGGTAAATAGGACAGGAGCGAGAACACATCCTTGTTTCACGCCATTGGTGATGTTAAAGGGGGCTGATGTGGCTCCATCAGACAATACTTCGCCTATCATGCTGTCATGAAAAAGGCATATAATCTGGGCAAATTTTCTTGGGCAGCCAAGTCGTGTTAGAATGGTCCAAAGGGCTTCCCTGTTGATGGTATCAAACGCCTTTGTCAGATCTATGAAGACAGCATACAAGTGCATGTTCTGTTCAATGCACTTCTCTTGTATTTGTCTGACAGCAAACACCATGTTGACTGTGCTCCGGCCAGGTCGAAAACCACATTGACTTTCAGGTAGATTTGCCTTGGAAATACTGGCTATTAGGCGGTTCAAGATGATGCAGGCGATGTTCTTCCCTCCAACGGAGAGGAGGGATATGCCTCTATAGTTTCCGCATTCTGCTTTGCTGCCTTTGTTCTTGAAAAGAGAGACAATAGTAGCATTGCGAAGGTCCTGTGGTATGTTTTCATCCTCTCAGATGTTGATTATCACGCTGTGGAATGCTGCTAGTGCTACTGGACCTGCTGCTTTGTATCTCTCTGCTGGTATCCCATCTTTTCCAGGAGCTTTCCCTGAACTCATCTGGCTAATAGCTTTCTTAATCTCATCTATAGTGAGCGGAAAGTCAAGATCTGTCAGAGCAGGTTGTTGTGGAATTTCATTGAGGACAATATTATTCACAGTTGATGGTCTATTGAGAAGGTTGCTAAAGTGTTCTCGCCATCTTTCGTTGATGCCTTCTTTATCTTTAATCAGCGTTGTGTTGTCTAATGAGAGCAATGGGGTGGTCCTTGGTTTAGAAGGTCCATAGACAGTCTTAATAGCACTGAAGAACATCTTTAAGTTGTGGGTCTTAGCATAGTGCTCAATTTCTTTGGCTTTGCTCTCCCACCAGTTATCTTGTATCTGACGGAGGTCTTTCTGTGTTTTGCTCTGAAGGTACTTGAAATGGTCCCGCTTAGAGACTGAGGAGGGGTCATTCTGCCATTCGATAAAGGCTTTTCTCTTTACTTCCAGTGCTGAGCACATTTCTTCTTGGTTCTCATCAAACCAATCCTGATGTGTTCTTTTCTTTGCTGTGTCAGTCACTATCTGCTTGAACTGGTCCCACTTTTCGGTTACAGTACCGATCAGTTGTCCATGGGATGTCAATTTGTCATCAAGGCTCTTCTGGAATTTGTTGAAACATTGAGCATCCTTCAGTTTGGCTATATTGAAAGCAGGTCGCACATGCTTAGGGCGTTTGTGCCAAGAAGGAACCATGTAGAGTTGAAGAGACGTCCTGACTAATCTGTGATCTGTCCAGCACGCTGCGCCTCGCATTACTCTAGTAATCAGTACGTCTCGGATGTCTCGCCTTCTAACAATGCCATAATCTATCAGATGCCACTGTTTGGACCTAGGGTGCATCCAGGTCGTTTTGTATTTGTCCACTTGTCGGAACAGAGTGTTAGTAATGGTCAGGTCATTTTCAGAACAAAGACTCAAAAGGAGTAGTCCATTGCTGTTCATTTTGCCTACACCATGTGGCCCGATTACTCCTTTCCAGTTCTCGCTGTCAGCCCCGACTCGGGCATTGAAATCTCCAAGTAGGAGTAGTTTGTCTGTTACAGATGTGGCCTTGATCAGTCTGTTGAGATCTTCATAGAATTGTTCCTTTGAGTTGTCAGAGCATGTTAAAGTGGGTGCATATGCACTGATGATGGTGACATGACGTTTGGCATTTAGTGGGAAGCGTAGCTTCAGCAATCTTTCATTGATACCCACTGGAAGGTCTGGGAGTTGATTCATCAATAAGGTTTTTATTGCCAGACCAACTCCATGTATTCTATCCTCTGTCTCAGTCTTACCCTTCCAGAAGAAGGTGTAACCACCTCCGGGTTCACTCAAGAAACCTTCCCCAGGTAGTCTTGTTTCACTTAATGCCGCTTTATCGATGTTATAACGGACTAGTTCTCGAGCAATGAGAGCTGTCCTTCTCTCAGGTCTTGCAACAGCTTCTCGATCCATGAGCGTACGAACATTCCATACACCAATGGTAAGTTTTCTCAAATTTTTCTTTTGGTTTCGGCCGCAGATTGGGTTGAACGGCCAGCCGCAGCTTGCTGGCCAGTTGTTGTAGGGCAGGCAATTTTTAGGCCACCTTTTCTAGGCCCCTCCCTTAGTAGGGTGAGCAGTGCTGTCCTGAAGAGGGCTGCTCAGACGCCTGGGATGCTGCCGGTCAACTCTGCTGCCCCAAGTACAGAGCTGGACGATCACCTATCCACAGATCGCCTGCATGCAGGATTGGGACTATGACTCCCAGTGGTAACCTCCACCTGTCGCTTTGCCCCTCCCCCATCACTGCAGGACTTGAGTGGTATGATGATAATGTTTGATGATTTGCACAGAACCTGTGCGTGAAAGCTTTTTAAGTGGTAGAGCCGTTGCACGGGAGCAATCCCACTCTCTCGACCTTAGAAGCCAGACACCAATGGTACGAAAAATCGTCACGACTGGTAACTTCTTTGGTTGCAGTGGATGGCCTTGATGTCTTTCGTGCCTCATCAAGCCCTTCGCTTTCCACAAAGCGTTGCAAAACCACCTTCTTGGCCGTTGGATCTTAGTGATCTCTTTCACCCACTCTGCCAGAGCTGACATCGCATGTGGGGTAGGCATATCCCTAATTCACTGAGGATTTGGATCCCATCAGTTACACTCACCTGGTTTGGCTGGCCTGTCGAAGCCATTGCCCGGGGTGTGGCTGCTGCACATGTTGCAGCTACTTGGAGCCACAGGTGAGAGCTGAGTGACAGGTGGGGACCAAAGTGGATGGACTACCCCCGAAGGGGTACGACAAGTCCCCCCATCAGAGGTACTACCCCTCCCTGGCCACCCCATACACCCTGCCAAATACCTTAGCAAAATCCACAAAAACATGGATCATCTTCCCATCATTCTCCAGCACTTTCTTCAATAGCATATGCAGATTGAATATTTGCTCCATTGTATAACCTTTGGGTCTAAAATGAGCTTGTTCTCCAATTCTCTTCAGCGTGATGCACAGCAATATTTTGATAGGTGTGTCAAAGTGATATTGTGTGGTAATTTCCACAAACAGTTGAGTCTCCCTTTTTATAAATAGGCACCATCAAGAACTATGTTCAAATGCTGGGCCATCTTCCAGACTCTCAAGTCACATTGGTAAGCTTATGGGATGCCTAGGTGAATGCCACTTCATCACTTTTAATTAGTTCTGCTTGTACATTATCCACTCTATGGACTTTATTGCTTTTCACTGTCTGCATCATATCCTTAACTTCTATCATAGGAGTTTAATTAGGATATGTCCAGCTTCTCACATAGATCTCATCTTCCTCTTTCCACTTCCAACTTAATTCATTCTGCTCATATTATACAGTTCTTGTTATATACCTACCCCAAGTGTTGGGTAAAATGGTATTTTTAGTAATTTTTATGGCCCATTTAGGATGCAACGCTATATACATTTAAAAAATCAAATGAAAACATGTCAGCTATAATTCATAGTAAAAGAGGAAATAAATGCTGTGTGTTCGCTCATTAAGAGGATCTCTCCTACCAAATAGTAAAATGTGATGGTTGACAGATAGGCAAGAGGAGTTAACCCATAAAGCAAAGGGATTTGTTTTGAACAAGTTTTTGTTGGGTTCTATGCAATTAAGCTCTTTTTAAAAGTAGAAGCTAATAAAATGCACCATGTTATCCATATAAAAGTTTTGATTCTAAACTGTGCACATGAAAAGCTACATTGAGACCTACAGTGGAGATCAGCACATGATACCTCTAGACATGAGTCAAAGAGCCACATCTGAAAATCAAGTTACTCCTCAGTTTTAATCAAAGTACATACTTTGGCAGATCATTGCACCCAATAAAGCCATCATTTCTATAAGCATTATTCAGGTCCCAATGTGGTGAAGTATCCAAGCATGGTAAGTTGCCTAGGTAATAGTCGCATTGAAAAGCAGCAGTACGAATAAAAATTGAAGGTTCAAATGCTATTTTACCACTTAAGAAAGGACCCTCCCCTGGGAAAAATGGGTTAACAGCACAACTGTATCCAAAATTCACTGATTCCCTCTTTAGACTGCTTTCCTCAAAAAAATGAAAGATATCACTTAGGCTGGAATCTAGTTTTTGCCTTTAGCCTAATCTGAGAAACAACATCTTTTATTTATTATTTAGTTTCATAAGAGGTTAAAACAAAGAAATATGTCCCGAGAACATCATATCTACAACCTACTTTTATCCATGAGAACTAAAACATACAACACTTGCCCTTGACAGGTAATTCAGCTCAGTACTCGACTAGAAAATGTCAAATGGTTAATACCTGATGTAAAATGCTTGTAGCAGAGCTCTTGGCCAGACATTTTAAAATTTAGGAGAATGTTTAAACAATTGTTTTTATGCTGGTTTAACTACTATTCAAATATGCTCAGTAGCTGAAAATGTGCCAAGAACAGGAAGAGAACAGCAACAAGAGCAGAAAAATTCTGTACTTCTGCTTCTCCTTCTAAATTACCCAGATCCCAGATGTTCACCTTTTCTTCTCTCACTGTTTCACTGACTGACATTTATGTGGACAAGAGTTGATACGTTTCACTAGCTTTCGTTAAACTAAGCCAAAGTAAACACCCTTCTTTGTTAGTTTTCTTTTTAGAATTAAGGTACCAAGAAATGTGTAGAGGAGCTGTGAAATCTCTTCATTATTGATGACAGTTTGACTGTGATGGCTCCTGGCCTCTTTCCTTTTTCTTTTTGATGGGTAAACCTTAAGTCTCAGTGTTTGAGTTTAGAGATAAGCAGTAATCAGCTGAATGTTTGATGCTTATTCAAAGCTTATCTGAACTGTCCATTCCTCCTGGTCTCATGAGGACAGTGTCTCATAAGGTTTACTGTTGCTCCTGTTTTAGACAGTCCAAAAATACCATGCAAACTTCTTTTAATCTCATGAAACTGGCACTTCTGCCTCTGCAGATTCCAGCTGAGTCTCAAATGCAGCACGGTGCAGAAAAGAAAGAAAGAAAAACAGTGACCGACAGATCATGATCAGACCTCCAAAAAAATGGTTCATTTATTTAGGGCTGGCGTACACTACAAAATTAGGTTGGCTTAACTACGCTACTCAGGACTGTAGTCCTGGTGTAAGCACCTAGGTACCACCTCTCAAAGAGGTGGATTTATTACAACAACTGAAGTGGTTCTAGTAAATGTCTTTATGCTACAATATTACAGCAGCACAACTGTAGCTCTTGCATTTTTAGTGTTAAGCTAGCCTTAATTTTGATGGGATTCTTATTTTCTTGAAGTTCTTCATCCATCTTTGGAAACTGCATGGTTTATGGAGACGACTCAAGTGGGATTCAGGAGATCCAGGTTCAAATCCCAGCTCTGCGTGTGATTTGTCCAAGGTCACACAGCAGGTAATTTGCCTCTGTGACTGTTTTCCCCTCCTACCTTTGCTAGAATTGTGCATTTTGATTGTTAGTAAAGCTGTGTAGGAAGCAGATTTTGTGGGAAATTCCACAATTTCAAATTTTCTTCCATTCCAAAATGGAATAAAACAAACAAAATAAGTTGGAAATTTTCCAAGAAATGAAATTCTGAAGGGGAAAAAAAATGTATGAAAAGGTTTCCATTCAGGTTGACCTTTCATTTCAATTTTTAAAATTGTATTTTCTATAATGTAAAGTCATTTTGAAACAGAAAATCCGTGTGTTCAAATTTGACTTCATCAGAATACTCCATTATGTGGGGTTCCTCCACCCAGATCAAAATTAAATCCAAATAGAAACAATTTCACAAAAATGTTTCATTTTTGACAAATTGACATTTAAAAAAAAAAGTCAGAAGATTTCCAATGAACTCTAATTGTAATTTCTCCATGACAGGGACTGTGTCTCACTATGTGAGTATATAGCACAATGGGACCACATCGCTATCATAATGCAAATAGTAATGGACACTCCTTTTTTTCCACACTCCTCCCCATTTTCTCAGGTGGGTCACTTACTCTTCAAAAAAACCCATATGAAGTGTACATAGTCACTGGAGTGGTTTGATTCCACAGAAGTAGGTTCTGTATGGGAAAGTAGGCTTGATTCTGGGGAGACTGGCTGCATTTTGGAGAAATCTATTGACAACACTGGAATGTGACAAGTAAACTACAGCTCTCCCCTCTCAACCAGCCTGTTAAAGGAAGGTGTAAACTTCCTAAACTACTTCTCTAAACTGTGTGGTCCTGCTTAGTAGCCTATGGAATGTTTAGACTTGTCTCACCCTTCCTTAACAAGAACTTTCTATTCAGGAGTTACTGGGAATTAATAAGACAAAATAGAAAAGATCTAATTAGTGGATACAAATATTTTCCAGGCATCAGCTGAGTTACCCAACAATAAAAGGAACGTATTAAGCATGGTCAAAAATTTGTAAGGGCAAACCAAGAACGGGGCCCCATTGTCCTAGGCTCTGTATACAGTCCCGGATTTAAAGAGCAGCCTCTGGGCAGTCCAAGAATTGGTAGTTAGAGAGGAAATATTAGTGTGCATCAACTACTGTGTTACTAATCCAAATTAGGATTTTAACTTTGTTAGACAGTATCACACACTGAAATTAAAAGGAAGCACTTGTGTTTAGAATGAGAATGAGGCTTCTTGTTCTACCAAGGCATGCTGAGGTGTTGCAAGGGATGAAGTCAGCTGTTGGTTGACCCCTGACTATGGGCAGGACAAGCATTAATCTGCAGTGCATGCTCAGATCTCCCTGACAGATAAACATACTGGGTTTAGAAAGACAATTCACTAGGAATGAAAACTTAGTGATCTGCACCAAAAAGCAATGTATGTATGTGGATCCTGCCCAGGGCATGTTTACCCAGAAAAAGTAATGCATAGACTAGCCTACTAGCTTGAATCCAGCCAGTGCAGAGATTGAGAGCAGTGAAGGCATGGCAGCATGGGCTTCAAAGCAGGCTAGTGATCCCAGTATGTACCCCGGATCCATGCAGGGCTTATGCTATCCACACTTAAGTCTGTACTGTCTTCGCTGCTATTGGTACCCATGGATTCAAGCTAGCTCAGATAGGCTAGCCCTCACCCAGACCTCTGTGTCTGATCCTGAACTATTTAAGTCAATAAGAGTTTTGCCATTGACTTAAGTGGAAAAAATCAGGGCCTTATTGAGTACTTTTAACCTAATTGCCCTATCATTCCAGCCTGTGTCCTCTAGGAGAAGATACCCACACCAACAGAGGAATATGCAAATTGAAAAACTATGTTACCCTCTGCCACCCCAAGAAATCTGGAGAGAGAGAGAGAGAGAGAGAGAGAGAGAGAGGAAATAAAGCAATATGTCTGGGTTGTGTGCTGGATTAGGGAAATTCAGCCTTGTCCAGAGTGTCAGCACAAGAGATATGTATTACTTAAGCCCTCAAACATGGAACATAAGTATATGGGTGAAAAGTGGACATTACCTTTTAAAGAGAAGATGTCCAAGTCAGACTATCCACTGTTCTACAGCACCATTTCTGTTGTTTGTCTGAGCAGATGGTGCAAAGCCTCTTTGCTTAGTATCTCTCAACAATCTCTCACACCAAATCCATCTGTTAGGTTTAAGTGGATTCTGCTGCATGTTGGGTTTCCAGAAATCATATTTGGCAGGTGTTTGACTGCATTTTAGTAATCATTTTTCCTCTCCTTATTTAGAACTTTCCTATTCTCTGAAGCCACACC